TCATATGGCAAAAATATTGAAACCAGGTTATTTACAGTTCAATATTTAAACATAATATAATCATTTCATAAATATATGTATGTCAAAACAATTTTCATCGTTTGTTACACAAAACTGTTCATCACACAAACTGGACAATACAATTGAATTGCATGCGTTTTTCGGTTCATATAAACGTGTGAAATTCAAGGTGTGGGTTAAAGGGACAGCAGGCAATCAATATCGAGACTATTTTCACTCTCTTTATCACTTCAAATAGCAGAGAATCGATTTTCATGTGACTGGACATCACATATAGACATATACACTCTTATTTTTTATACATATCGTATTTTTTTCTGTTCTTTTCACTCCTGGTCAATTTGATAAGTATCTGCTTCATCGATAAATCTAGCACAATGTAATAGCACGATATGTACTCCAATTTCGGTTTGACAAACTATTGAATGGGTATAAATTTACAGAAAAAAACCATTTGGTCACAGTTAAAAAAGTTCAATAAATGGTGAGGCACATGTGTACACGCCACTGTCAAATTACTTTCTCAATAAACTGATAAATTAAATGATAAGTATGTTCGATATAGATCGTCTCGAATGTTTTACATAATACGTTGAAGTGATCCCAAAACAAAAACTGAAATGGAAAATTTACTGCTGAATGCACATACAAAATATAGATTTACTTGTTTATCGATTGAATCAAACATTATCATTATCATCGTCATTCGATGTAATTTTAATGCTATACACAAGGTGAGTTCAATCAGCGGAATTGTGGCTCATTTACGCCATAAATGAGCATTTCTAAAATTATAAAATCACATACTACAGATTCGAGAAATACTTCATATCAAATTGAACGATTTGCATGCGAAACACAGCGATTTGAAATGCCCACACATGGGAATTACAATTTCTCAAAAGCGTGTTAGCGACCGCAATAATAAACTCGCATAACACTTACATTTGTTAAGTTGATTCCGGTGTGATAGAAAAGGGCATAGATTTTGTCGACAAAATGAAAAATGAACGACGATTTGTCTTTCTACATTTATTATTGGTTCATTACAGTTTTGAAACAAAAAAAATGTGTTATCGTCGTATTTGTCATATTTCTATTTTGAATTTTATGGTTGCCCTCATGAGAATGTGTGTCATTGATAAGCCTTTCCGCTCATCGAAAAATATGCTTTGAAAATGCTGGCTGCATAAATAAATTGAAATAAGACACGATTGCTCATTTACATTCATTCGCACACAATAAAACAAAAATCGGTGCGTTTATATATGGTGCTACAATAAATGGTTTTGTATCGACTCACAGTTGAATAATGACACTTATTACAAATGCATAAATTGATGGTCAACGTATCATATCTCAGAAAAGCTTCAATTACATTTAATTGCTATGCAAACATTCGCCATTGACGATTCAAAATCATTGATCGAGAAGTTAATCGAAGTTAATCAGAAGAAAATCAAGTTTTATGCATTAAATCAATGAATTCATTAAATCATTCATCGCAGCGAGATATAAATATTGAAGCCATCATCATGTTATTGATGTCGAATTAACAATTCCTAGAAATACAAACAGAACAAAGAATCGTTCTAGAAGTGTGTAACAAATAAAGATGATCGGTTTCTATTTATCCGAATCATAGTTAAATTGTTATTGATTCACTTGGTAAATACGGCATCGTTTGCTATAACCGTATGGTTCCATATTCATAATGCGTGGTGACATCATGCTTTTCGCTTTTATATGCCATTTATAGCTTTCGGTGTCATGATCTCTTTTTTTTCGGTTGATGCGCGCTTCTCTATGAATCTTTTGCATCATTTTTTTTCTTTGTTCGATAAACGAGTTGAATAAAATAAATAGTTACGTTGTTTAATTGGCAAAGGTACTCTTTCGTGTGAAACCAATTTATCTGGATTTGTAAACGGTTCACATCATTTTTTTCTGTAATTAATTTCCATTTGCCGCTTCACTCTTCAAATGTAATTCGACCAATTTATGTCGGCCTTATTGTTTGTAACAAAGAGTTGACGAACGTGTGAGCAATGTATGTGCTTAAAATCTATTTGACCGAATTCTAACAGTGATTCATGGTCCACTGATATCGGTATATTATTTTACTAAAATAATTTTCCAAACGAAGTTAAATTTAAAAATTATCATTGCTTTTTTTTTTTATTAAAATGACGTGTCAATTATTTTTTCAATGCACTCAATTCCACGTATGATTAATAAAAAAGATGAATGTATAACAGAATAAAAGAAACAAATAGAATTTATCATTGAAATGAGTTGAGCTCGAAAATATCGACCGAATAATATATGCGCTATGTAATTATTTTGATTGGACAATTAATGCCATCACGCCAGGATGGACAATAGTCTGACTATATTACCATGAAATTGCATTTCCATTAATGATATGATGCGTGTTGGGAATTTCAATATCAATATTTGTACACTATGTGTTGAGTTGTGTTCTTTTTCATTCTGTAGCCCTATTCAATAGCAATTTTTAAACACTTTTAACTCGAGCGCACACATTAACCATTATTAATCAGTGAGTTTTTATAGATTTCACTGTACTTCTATTTTCCTTCCCCTCTCACTTGTCAATTTCTTCCTCTCCAAATAAGTGAGCTTTGTTCGCAATCCAAAGCATGTCTAGTGATTTGGATTTAATTGTGTTTTATCTATCCCTCTAGGAATGTGTGAATTGAATAGACATTTTTTTTGTTGTTGTTGCACATCAGACACTATTATGTACATGAGCAGGCACAACGATTGGCTTGGTTTGTAGAATTGCATGGTTACGACGAACAAAATTTACTAGTAGTTAAAATGTAGCGAAATGTTGTTGAATGTTAATTTGAAATTTACTGATAAGGATGGCAAAGATGTTAATGTATTTGGCTTCCATATTGGTTTATTGTTTGTTTTGAATTGGTTTGGGTCGATGGGAAAAAGCAGCAAAACGAAAATTAAAATGGGATTTTTCAGACAAATACCGAACGATTGATAGACAAACTTTTACGAGAAAAAAATGATACGAAAAAAAAAAAATGTACATTTGATTTTTACAAACTAAAATTAAAAATTACAAACTAAAAACGAAATTGTATGTTTTATTGTCATGTATACAATGATTAAATGAATATGCAAACAAATTTGATCGTTTGGATGTTACAGCATTGGATCGGATAGAAAGAGAAACAGAGAAAGATAGCTAGCACGGATAACGAAAAGGATTCACGATGAGCTTGATGAAAGCAAATGACGATAATAAGTACAAAACCAAAATAAAAAAAGAAACTAATTACAGCAGAAAAGAAAATAGGTAGAACGAATGAATTGTTTTAGAATTGAAAGTTTGAGAGCAAAAAAAAAATAAAATAAAAAAAAAATTATAACGAAAAAAAAATATTAAAATATATATTCTTTGACTTCCCCACAATGTGACATGATAAGAAAAATTGAGTTGGTATTTTTTTCCTTTGATTTGTTTTGGTTGAATCGTTCATTAATGAGTTTGGTGTGTGTTTATGTGTAAGTGAAAGTTTATTATTAAATTTGCAGTCCGAACAAAAATCGCAATAGGTTGTGTTTTTTTTTCTTCTTTTCCAAGTAAATGCTACTACCTCTATTGCTCTTTTTGTCTGCAATATGTTATTCGAATTTAAACGGAAAAAAAAATTGAGAAAAAAATAAATGTAGCGCAAATTAAAAAAAAATAAATATGACCAGTAATGCACATAAAAATATAAGTTTTAAAAATATATATATATATATGTATATATAGATATTATGTGATGTTAACGATGTTTGGTTTGGCTACAAATATGATGGAGAAGAAATTTTTCGGTATAATTATAAGTGATTATGAGGCAAGATCGTTTCATATATATTTTTTTCCAGTTTGGTGTTTTTGATTTTATGTTGGTTGCGTCTGGAAAATCATAATATTCATGTTGTTATTTTTTTTTATTTGCAGATTTATACCAATATGGTAAATTTATGTGTGTGTGTGTGTTTTTTTTTTATCTGAATAAAATAGTCGTGATTTGCGAATGATGATATAGGCTGAACTGAATGCTGATCCAACGATGTGATTTTATATTTTAAACGTGTGTTTGTGATGTAGTAAGATTTTGATGGTTCTTTTTCGATGATTGAATTATATATCACTATTTAAATTAATTTGATTTTTCGAGTTATTACATTGCGATTCATGTTGTTATTGAGATATGTGACCAGCTCACGTTTGCACCACCATTCATTTCGGCCAAGCGTACAAATGTGTTCAGGCCCACATATTCATTATGTATAAAATTATTATTATTGCTTGCTTTTTTTCCTCTTGTTTATTATTTGTTTATTTAAATGGAATTTGTACAAATGCTTCCGAATCCCCTTTCCCATTGGCTACGTGTATATAAAATAAAGGTGAGTGAATGACTGAAAAGCCCAATAGATTATGTATGCATTCGATTTGATTTTGTTTTATATTATCAGAAGGAAGAGAGTGTTCATCAAATTTTCACGGGAACATCGGTTTGACATTGACGAAATTGTCATCGAAAATAGCCATCGTACAGACCAAAATGCAATATGATCACGGTTTGAAATCGTAAGAGAAAATCCAATAACCAAAAATAAATGGGTACATTTTTGTACATTTGACATTTATCCAATTGATGCAAATTTGGTAATGTTCGCCGAAATTCGTATGGAAATTTGATGGTTGTGTTTGTGTGTGTGTATATATATGTGTAAAAGACGTGGATGGTTGTGAAATTGTGGCTGGAAAAGGGGATATTGCATTGTTTTGTTTAAGCATATATTTTTTTTTTTGTTTTGATTTTGTGTGTGATTTTGTATTTGTATTTTTTTTTTTTTTGGTTCGACGACAGCATTCGAATTCAGAAATATGAAAGTCTGAAGCTGTATCATTTACGAATTTAATAGAGCCTACTCACCAAAAGAACAATTCGGCGATGTTTGCAGCTGATCAGTTTGCTGCTGCATTTGCTGTTGGGTTGGCTGAAGTGACGACGATGATTGTTGCGATATTTGTGATGAGTCCATATTCGATGTATGCGATAGAAATAGTGAGTGCGCTTGATTGTGTGGATGCTGCGGATGCTGGAATTGATGGAAATGTTGCTGTTGTGATGTCAATAGATCGATGTGATCAACAGTTCCTGTATCGAGACTATATTGGCTTCTGTGATTTGGATTGATTTTGCGTTTAGCTGCTTCGAGGCTGCTTCGCGATTGTTTTGATGGTAGTAGCCAATTATCTAACATATTAATCGATGTGGATGGTTCGTCGAACAGAAACAACCCATTTGTGACGCAATTGCCCGTAAAATGATGTGCCGTTTGATTTGTATTCGACTCTGGTTGCGATTGATTCGGTTGGCTATTTTGGGACTGTTTCGCAACTGCTTCAAAGATAGTAGCCATTTACAACATTAGAGGTCAAACTAGTTGACAAATCGGTTTGACTTCCAAACTACTAATGGTTCGGTTTTACACTATTTTTTCGTCTCTCTCTCTCTCTCTCTCTTTATATATATTTTCTCGCTCACTCGCGTGCACACTTTTACACACAGTGACAACACAGCAATCGGAAATCGGCGCAGCTGGAATTTGCCTTGGCTTCGTTTACTTCGATTAACGTTTTTTTTCTTCGTCTATTATTAATTTATTGTGTCCTTTCGCCGATAATTGCCCCACAACTTCTGTTTAGTGCTCTATCGTGTTGATAAATGCTTTTCAATTAACATTAAATTCAGTAATGTTGAGCGCGCAATTTGTGTTTTCGTTTTTTCAATAATTATACGCTAAATTATTTCTTATAATTTTTATGCTTCACACACTTGATGCCCGAATGAATAAGTATCAATGCTTTGCGAGATTGAGATTTTTTTTTTTGGTGTTTTCTTTGTATCAGCAATGTGTGTATTACAATGAAATTTCTTTTTGTCTTCGTTTGATTTTTATATCAGGAAACACACTTATGCTGACTTAAACCAATATTACAAAAGCCAGCTTTGTGTAGGTGTGTTTGGGAACTACTACATAAAGTATGTTGACGCTTGCGATAAATAAAATTTAAAGTTGTTGTTGTTGAAACGGCGAATGTTTGATTGGCGTGTGTGGTTGTGTGAGTGAGTGTATGTGAATGTTTTCTGCGATGTGTATAATTTAAGCAAAGTGGTGAGTATCACATTTAAATTCAGGCACTTTTATTTCTTTCTTTTCGAACTATCTACGACGTTGGTTTTATTTTTTAATGAAATAATGGTGTACGTAATATGTGATGTGGGGTGAGTGGTAACGCTGATCCGCTTAAGAGTAGAAGATTTCAAAGTGATGTGATTTTTTTTTTCTTAGCGTGATGTTGTTCTTCTTTCGATTTCTGCTTATTTCCGCTTCTATGAAATTATAAGATTCGCTTTGAACTTGTTTAGATGTTTGCGACGATGACCTTTTGTTTGCTGCCAAATGATTTGTTGATGTTATTGTTTTGTTCAATTAGAGTTGAGATGTTTTATGACCGCAATCCGAAAATGTGAGTTCTTTTAGTGCTGTTGTATTTCAGTTCCGTTCAGATTGATTTCATTTAGAAATCGTAAACAGTGTGATAGGGTTTGCAAGAATGTGGTTGTATTTATTTAATTATTTTTCTCTCGTTTTATTTAAATCACATTCGATTGAGTTTTTTTTTATAATCCGTTATACCAAATAATCCACATTCACGACTGTTTCTTCTTCCACTAAATATTGAGTGTTTTTTGTTTTTCTTCTTATAAATTTGATTGAATATGTTGGCTGTTGTCGTCGATTAAATATTTTATCGTTTATGCGTTTGATGCTATTCCGTTGTATGCTTTATTTCAATATCACTTTAGTTGTTTTGTAATAAAAATTGTTTAGATTCGATGCATTTTGGATTTCGTGTGCGTACCACAAATACGATCATTTTTCAATCACCATTTATTTTGTTTTTGTTTCGATTAATAAAGGAAAAAAAAGAACAAAAAGATAAAAAAAATATTGTTGGTTGGATAAAAAATGTGTTCAGTTAAAGAGAAAGATAATCCCTAATTGATAGAATTGTTGGTTCTCTTGAATTTATTAACGCTATTCGAATATATGTAATGGAGATTGTGCCATAATTGTCATAAGATAATAATGCACGAATTACATATTTTTATCAAATGACGGATGGTCGGATGTTTTGCTGTGGAATATCAAGCTCTCTCACTCTCTCCCTCTCTCTTTCACACACACTTATTCACACAACCTATAATCGATTTTTAATTCATCGATTTGATTTTTGTTAATTTTTGGCCACCAAATGTTTGCATGAAATCATTACATAATCCATTCATAAATTAATCATTCTACACAAATATTTTACCTCGTAAAATATGTGCGCTTTTAAATCATTCATTTACATTTATACCACAAACACTGAACATTATTCACAAATCGATTCATCTTTCTCTTTCTTTCCCTTCTCTCGCTCTACCTCTCTGAATCACACGCACACACAAAATATTATTTATCACTCATATGAATTTAGTTATCTTTACAATCATTTGATGATATTTTCAATATCATTTCACTCTTAATTGTTGGTTATCTTTCAAAAAATACAATTAATCTCATGACATATTACATTGAACAAAATGAAGAGAGAAAAAAAAAACGTATTTCGGTTTCCTTCGCACTTTGAATGAAAACTAATAAAGATCTAGTGAGTTCACCAGACAAAGAATGACTGGTCGAAAATTCAATCGGAGATACAAATGTTCCAAACGATTCCGGCAACGACGCCATCAAACTGAAATCATTTTTTCTTTTTAAAATTTGTTCTTTACTTCGTGACTATTCAATCACTATTTGTATATCTCGCAAACAAAACACTATGTTTTCGCCGAATACTATTCGGTTAAGTACCGTACGATGAGCATGACAAAGTCCTAACATTTGTATATGACCAGTTTTTATTCTTGTTACATTATTTTTGTGAATTTCATAATAACGGTGTAACGAAAAATGATTGGGAAATGGTAACAATCACATTTTTTGAGCAAGCAAAAAAAAATCAAAATCGACGGTGAAAAGCTATCACGACAAACACAGTAATCTCATCGCAATTTAATTTAAAAAAATAGGTTTTCAATCAACTGAGACTGCACACACGATTACAGTCGCATAATTATATACACACTCAAATACAAATAAAAAAAAATAAATGGCATGGCTTTACTGAAAAAAGTGTTCGCGCGCGCAATCAGTCCAAGTGAGCAACTAACATTTTAACACAGATGCGAATGCGCCGACCAAATCAGAGCAGAGAGCGAGCGCGTTGAGAATAAGTAACGAGATAGCCGACATATTCCATTCGTATAATCTCCATCGGCATATTCGAGACGGAATATATGAGTGCCTTTGAAAAAAATTATGTAATGATTCATGTTAAGTGTTTCAAAGCCGTTATTGAAACAGCACACTGTTGCTGCGGCGCTCGCACTCTGTTATCGTTGACGAATTCTCTTTTTTCTCTCACTTGGCGTTCGTGTCATCTCAAATTCAACTATTCGCGAGATTTTTTTCTCCTGTGTTTGTGAATTTTTTATTCTTTATATAAAAAGGTGTATATAAATGGCATTTTCGTACATCCATGTCGATTTAATCTTGTATGAGTGAGCTCATTGCATTATTTGGAACAAACGAGACGTTATTGAAAATATTGTGCAACTTTTTTTAGACAACAATAACATGCTATAGTTATGAATTTGTATGTGTGTGTGTGTTGGATAGTGTGTTTTTCAATGTGATCATGTGTTTTGATGTCATTTGAATCGACGTACTAATTTGAAAATAGATCTACGTTTCCTTTTCACTTATCATCATCACACATTAATTGCCATATATGATTGCAATGAAATGGAGCACAGTTGATTTGGGTAAAAAGCTCATAAACGAATTTACATATGTTGTTTATTTTTCATGACTTTAATTGTACACACATTTACGCACTTTCTACACAAACTATCGCAATACAATTCACATTTCGAAATTGCAAACGGATTTAATATTCAAATCATTCACATTTATAGCAGCAAAAAAAAGAGAAGATTATCAAATATTGACAGGAGATCTCGGTCGAAAACTGGAAACTAACAGCCGAAAACGTTATTATCATTGAAACAAATCGTGTATTTTCGTAAAAAAGCGCTCGTGCACACACACATATATATAGATTTTATTTGATAGCCTCTTATTCGTAACGACTACATGGAATCTCCAGCACACAATATTCGTACACGTACTACCACATGTATGCGTGTGCTTATGTGTATGCTGTATCATCATCAAGCGAACATTCATATCACATGTGTGAAGACGACAATGAAAGCATACTAAAGTGATGATGAAACGGTAACAACTCCGATTTGTTGTAGTAAATTCGGATTTATTTCTTCATTTTTAATATAAATTGTCTCTTTTTTTTTGCTGTGTCGTTCGTTGCTTACTTTTGTTCAATTCGTTCCATTTTACAAACAATTCAGTACCATTTTAAAACTTTAACAAATATCATCACATATGTGTTCGACTTTATCAGATAAATATTCGTAAAAAATTTAAAATACATCATGGAAATTCGGTTAGTGTATTTTTATCTAATTAGATGTATAAAAATAACAACCCATGGCAATTATGCAAGAGAGAAAGAGTTCGCGGACTTAAGAGAAACAGCGTTCACTTGATCAATATCAACCACTGACTGTACGTGGCGTTTACATATACACATTTTGCAAACCCATTTTTTTTAGACTGACGATTTTCTGTCTGTGCTTCTTTTTTTCATTTTGACTGGGCTGATAAATATGTGAAACTATTGAGCGCATTTTGTCTGTGTACAACAACAACCGGCTGAATGAGTTTCGTTTCTGTTTTTTTTTTTGGAAGAATATGCAAAGAAAGACGGGAAAAAGAATTAAATTATTTTGAAGAAAGAATGGAAAAGAAAACAACAAATGTATGGCAATTCCATTTCGGCAACACATGACGCGCAACTTTGTCATTCATTTGAAAGCTAGAACAAGAGTCATGAGCATACAAGCTCAAATTTTGTTGACCACAACAACAATAAAAATCCCAAGAGTACGCGCGCGTTTCTTCATATAAAGAATATTTTGATACACGCAAATTAACCAAACGAACAAACAACAACAATAACAAATGGGAAAGCATGAGATTTACGTTTAACATTCTCTTTCTCTATTTCTCTTTCAAAATTTGGAACAATCATGTTAAATGTGTATACCAAAATACGGATGGATTTCTTCGGAAATCGCGACGCAATGTTTTGATTCGCTAAAATATACATTCTCATTTTGAGTAATGGTACAAGAATCATCACCATCGTCGTAGTCGTAGTCGCCATCGCAGATCCAACAACAATAACTAGTTTAAAACTACGATGGTCTTCATTCACACTCGTTTAAAGGCTATGTGTGAATAATCATCGTCTTTGTATCTTTTGGCCCATACACACAATCTTTTTTTTTTTTTTTGGTTCGTCGAAATGATTTTTGTTGTTGCTATTCATTTTGCTGGTAAACCAGTTTACCAGTGTATAAATGAATGAATAAAATTTGATTTGAACGGAAATTTCTTTCGAATTGATTTTCGAAGCATGTTTTTCGGTTGAAGTTTTTCCGTCGGTGACATTCAGGCATGTATCGGTATTGAATTGAATGTTAAATGTTGTGTTTGAAATTAAGTATGCATTTGAATCAGGCGGCCCATCGACGCATTTCAACTATTGAAAATGTCACATGATTTTATTTCCATCTCATTCGCTCGTTCGCTCTTTCTCTCTATCATTTCACTTGAAGCTTGATCAGAAATCAACAAATCACACGATCACTGCTCGTATGGACGGTTCTAGGTCAAAATTGCGCTCGCGCTCATTCACTCACTCGCTCCTCAAATATTAACACAAACTACAAATTTTTCCACAATAGACACACACACACATGACAAACACTAACCTAAAAATGATGATGTGTTGAATGCGAGTGGCTATTTATCATTTTCAATGGAATACTTGGCGTTTTAATTGAATTTTTTTTATTTTCATCTCGTTGTGTTTGTCTAACACAATGCATCAGATTGTGGTATTATTTTAAAATTAAACAGAAATAAAACTGATTGAATAATCTACGTGTTTTGTTTGAATTACTGATGGATTTTGAACAATCGTAACGACGTGCATAGTGCTGCCTGTTCAAAGCTAGGCACAAACATACTGGGGGCGTGAAAATTCACGACAGATAAAATCCGATAAAGTTTATTATATGTGTGTGTCTGTGTGTGTGCGTGTGTGTCATAGTTCCAGTTCAATTGCTCATTATGATTCAAAGAAAAGTGGACAGAATAGGCACTTTTTAAGCACAAATCACGGCATTCGATGAGTATTCTAAACGTTTGGGAGCAAAAAATACGACACAAAGTACACATCAACATCATGACACACTCGTGCACACACAAAGGTGCACAAAATAAACGAAAAACAAGAAAACCAACAACCAATTCAATGCAAGTGATTGATAAACTGCACTGCACATTTTAAATATGAAAGAAAAAAAACCGTTAATTAATTACTACACACCATATGAAGAGAACACGGGAAACAAAAAAGCACAATTAAATCAAATGACAGAAAAATTACTCCGAAAAAGAAATGAAAAGAAACGAAATGAACGAAAAAAAAATTATTCGAATTTTTGCTGTGATTACTTTAAACTAAGCGATAATCATATTATGTCGGCAACGCGCGCGTGTTGTCTATAATATTTGGTTCGTATCTAGTGTTGTGTATGCGATATGTGAACCCCTCTAAACAATACTAATCAAATAAATGGACTACGATTTGAACGAAACCGTCATCGTCAAATTGCACTGTGTGCGAACGTATTCATTACAAGTGTGAGAGCTGTGTGCTTTTTTTCTCTCTTCTTTCTTCATTTCGATTGCTACGACGGAGCTATGTGATGTAGCAGCTCAGCCATTCGTTGATGTGTGGCGAGTTTTTTTTTCATTGTGTTTATTATTATTATTATCGTTGTTTTCGTTAACATTCAACACATAAAAGCAGCCACACAACTTTGTAGGTCTGTGTGTATGTGGTTTGGTGCTGTTGCTTTTCTGTAATGACTACTTTGAAGGGAAATGCGGTTGTGTGCGTGGGTCTTTTTTTTATTTTAAAATTATTATTATTATTATTATTATAATTTTTTTTGTCGTCGCTCTTTTTCGTGGAGTTATACTTTTTGCTCCAGCAATGACAAATAATAATAAGTATACGAGTCTGTTTTATATGATACTTTGATATATTTGGTGATAGGCGGTTTGAGTTTACCTATTTCGCACTATGTTTATTTCCTCGAAATTTCAAGTATTCATTCATGTAAGAAAGCAAAAAATAAAAACAACACACCGAGAGAAAGAGACCTTTATTCATTTAACTCTCAAAACCATTTGAAAATATTGAAAATATGTGTGTGAGTGGAACTCGCAATGCTTGAACTTAACACATTACACAATAGAATTTCCGAAAGCTGTTTTCCATCGTTGCGAGTGCTAATTTATTCACTATCAATACTTGCGTGTGTGTGCATGTGTGTGACATATGTTTTGGTATGGAACCATAAATCGCCACACGGACATGTGTTGCGGGGTGCTCCTGTGCTAGTACTTGTTTTCTTTTTTTGTTTCATTCGTTAATGCGAACTTGTATTAGACCATGTTCGATTTCCAAAATATTAGTGAAGGTTACTTCACATTTGTAATGTGATTTCGTTTATCTCTTGCTCATTCGTTCGTTTGCTTGTTCGCTCTTTCGCATTACTGTCTCTATTCACGTTATATTGCCGCTGTTATCCGTATTTACTTGTCTTTGGGTTTCTCTCTCTCTTTCTCTATGCCTATCTATATCCCAATCTCCATTTTCTCTTTTTTTCGTTCCATTGGTTTCTTTTAATCGTGTTTCGTAAGTATGCAAGTGTTTTTTAGACAATCGTTTGCGCCACTTAAACGCTTTTAATTTGGCGTTTAACATTTATATATCCATAGTCGTGCCATTTGTCATTCAAAATGCGAATTGAAATTGAAAAATAAGCGAAAAAGAAGAAGAAACGACACATGGTCGGAAAGAAAGAAAGAAAAAAAACACTATCAACACATAAACATTACATTACACGCAAATACACATATAAATCATCAAACAATATCATCTTCAAAACAAAATGTTTCTTTATTGGTATTGATACTTTTGCTTTCAATTTCATGCATTAATTGTTGCTTCATCAGCAAAGTAAGCAAAACCAAACAACAACACATACACACAACTGTCCGGGAAATGTAATAGGGCATGATCCTGTACATCCAATTTTCTTTATCTATTTTCTTCGATTCGTTCGATTTCATGGTCATTGTGGCCAAATAAATAGGTCATTTTCAAATATTAAATTTCTTGATTTCAAAACGTTTATCAATGCATGCGAATGGTCCCTTATTATTTCATATCTTATAGATTATGTCATGTTTTCATTTTCGCATATTGAATTTCCATGTATGCATGAATGACGTGAATAACGTAAAGCCAAAGAAAAAAAAACTGCGTGTGTATACGTCATTGAAAGGTTAAAAAAATGCCAATTTGAAAACAAAACAAAACAACCCATATACATACATGATTTCATGCTGTTTTCTTTGTCTCTTTGCTATTTTTACCAACAATTGTGAAACTATACAAATTTTAATTTCGGATGAAAAATGTGTGACATACTTAGAGTTTGAAATGGATCCACTACTCTTAGATCATCATGTTATTCTTCTTTTTAAAGCACAAATGATTCTACTTTGTGCACACTGGTCCCAGAATGGACTCGGTCTCTTATCATATTGACACATTCAAAGTAACGGATACCGGAAGCAAAGCACTTCAATATCAAATGTCGTAAAATATTTTTTGCAGAGTACGCATATTAGATATGAAGCACACACACACATATATATATTTGCTTGATTTGGGTGTGTAAATTTTTCTGAACAGATGCAAAAATCAGCCCATGATACAATATAAGTTATGACAAAAATGGGCAGTAAAAGTGAATTTATCGTTTATGTTTGGTGCCATCCCACAAATGTCCACGATCACAGTTTTAAGCAAAAATTTTAACATTTCAATTTTGCTTTTTTTTTATTTTCTACCTGAGATTTCATTGGAGTATTTAGTAATGGACGTTCCATATTCGGTTGATGTGATGTAAATACAAAATGGTGACGTGCACTAAATTTTGATAATTTCACGTCAAATAGGTAAAAATATCGGCTATTTTCACCGAAACCATAGTCGGTCATTATTGTATTTTCTCTGATAGCATAAAAATGGCACAAGTTTTCATCAAGAAAGAAACATACAACTCACATTATTTTTTTTTTCATTCGGTGCACAGTTGGCATAGTTCATTTCTATATACCCGTTTTGAGGTTATTCAATAGAAATGTCAAAAAAGTATATGGCAACATTGTACAAGTGCATTTTCTTTCGAAAAAGAGGAGAAAAATATATAGTGGAGCGAATCAAATGAAAGAGTTTGAAATGTATGTTTCAAATGCTATTTAAACAATTCTAAGCGCATATACGGTAATGTAATAAAATCGAATCCCCAGACAGTGTACGTATTTGATTTTCATATTATTTGTTTTATACGTTCTCAAAGGATTCGAGCTTATAAAGCGAATGGGGTTAATTTTTTAATTGGTCATAAACGTTATGCAGGCTTTTAAATGTGTTATGCCAATTTTGAACAATGTTCATGTGTTTTTTTCAGAAATTAGATCGCAACTAAGAGCGAATTATAAATTTAAAAAAAATGGTTTATAATCTTCACAATGGATTTTAAGAGTGCGGCAAATTCCACCCAAGAGAAAAAAACATTGCAACATTTTGTGATTTTATTAATTGGAGGAGAAGCGACTTTAGATATGTCATTCGTGTCATCCATTCAAATGCGATAATGTCAAAATTGTCATAAAATATTATTGATAGCAAAAAAAATCTCGCGATTTTGACATACAATACATTATCATATGCACAGACACAGTTACAGATATATTCATCCGTGGCAATAGTGGGCTGATGAGTCAGCGAACACAATTTTTACATCGAACTTGTCATTCCGCTATAGTTTTTAAACGATAAATTCATTATCCATTTTTTATACATTCAATTGGAACATACAGCACAGCAACACACTCAAATACTTACACAATACAGTAGTTTGAAAATATTCTCGCTAAAATGGCTTCATGCAAACAGATTTCGATATATATACAAATTTTGTGTTCGATCGAAAACGTATTCGAATATTGAGAATGTTTTGTATGGCAACATTTGTCAAAGAATTTTTCGTTTTTTTTTGTATCTGTCTGTCTGTGTGTTATATTTCAATGTACGAAGCGGTCGCAGTCTACGTCATACCATGTCAATGATATTCCTCTTTTTTTGGAAACCAAATAACACTCACTCAAATTCATTTTCATTTCAATCCACCATTGTACACATATTATGTGGCCATTGCACAAAAATATACAATAATATGTGCATATTAATTGACACTCTTTTTCGCTTTGCTCTCTATTTAAAATTGTAATTGTCATTTTATTTGACTTTAGCCTTTGTATTCGTAAAAAAAATGTAAATGTATCCAGAAACAATAAGAGAAGGTATTGCAATGAGTCATTGTATTGCGCAAAAGAAAATAATAATTACGAAGCTTTTGTGGCGAATCTTCGTTGGTATTTTTGCACCACCATTCAACGAATGTGTATTTGCTGGCAAACTAGAACAGTCATTCAAATGTTCATTCTTTAAAACATTAGATTTGGAGTTTTCATTTGATTGGAATATTAGCGAGAGCTTTTAGTACATTTGATTTTGATTGAAACATTGTCAATTTTGATTGCATCTAAATGAAGGAATTCGATTGACCCCGTACCATGTGATAAGAGAAATTGCTGTATAATTGAAAATGATTGGGATAAAAGTATGGCATACTTCATTTGAATTAGTACATATATGACAAAATTAATGTTTGGATAGCTTTTATCGGTTTGAAATATTCAACCCGAAGGTGTACAAACAATTATATGCAAAAAATTCTTTTTTTTGCACACTGAAAATGAAGCAAATAAATGTGAACAAAAGTGCACAACAAAGAAGAAGATAATGGTTCATGTGGTTCATATACATGAGAGAGCCCAATGTCTGTGTGCAATCAGGACGGTTGGGATGAACCATTTATTTGTTTGCCAATCGCATACCATATACAACTATAATATTTGTGTTAATGGTAGGTAGAAAACGGTACACAAAATGACTACTGCACTGCACAAAAACAAAACTAGGCCATGAACAAAAATGTTCAAGCTTTTCCGTCATTTCGAATACCATAATATGGTATGCACGTAGCGCGCGCACATTATTCACATGTGAATTGACTCGTCCGTTTTGTTCGAATTATTCCAAGTCTGAAAAGTATTCTCTCTCTTCTTTTTTTCTTTGTGTCAGTGTGTGTTGTGTTGGTGGATGAGCATTGCTCTCAATGGTAGTGTAGATATGCACGCGCGCAATTTTTTTTTGCTTGGTGTATGTGTATCCGAGTAAGAGCTTATGTATGTGTGACATGCATTTGAAATTCGTCACTCAAAGCTCTCTCTCTCTCTCTATTTCTCTTTCTCTCTCTCTATTTCTCTTTCTCTCTCTCCCT